ATATGCAGCTCCCAAATATATAAAAAATAATTACATCATATTCCCCGACAGCAGCCAGTGGCATCCTTGAGAATAATCTCCATTTCTCGAATAACAAAAAGTTCAGTATCATAACTTATTTATGTGAGGAGTGTACTCTTAAGTGGTTCTTATCTTGGCAACAGAACAATTAACTCGAGTTGGTACTTCGACAGAATCCAGACCTCGAAATGCTACAACAGACCAACAGGTGACTAACATTGTCCAGACAGTCGTAAAACAATTATAAAGGGACACTTCCGTGGAGTATTCCAAACATGTTTGAAATATGAGAGTTTATCCTGGGCGTTTTTTTTACGAAAGCGAAATAGTTTACGCAACATAAGGCCTTCATATTAGCGATTAACATAAAATTAGAAAACCGTGTAGGAGTTGCAATAAGGTACGTGGACTGTGTGTAGATATTCATAATTTGATGCATATGTTAGGATAATTGTTTTATTTTTTACCGGTGTATATATTTTAAACATGCAACCACCATTTATTTTTTAATAAGAATGGAAACAAGTTTGATGAGTATATTATACCCAAAGGTCATTCCTGCGACATTCCTTTATTTTACAAACGAATTCTATAAATTATAAAATAGTAAATTATATTACAAGTGAATGTTTTGTCCAAACGTTGCAGTTTTTTAACGGAAAACAAACTTGAAGATATATTTAAAAAAATTAAAAAATATTTGATCAGAAGATCTAAAAAATTTACGACAAGGAATACGATCGTTATTCAAAGCTTGGAAGACATAAAATGCAGTACAGACTTAGATGTTATTTTGGCGTAGTTTTTACAAAAATTTAAATAACTACCTATAATTTGATATTAAATCTATGACCATGTTACTTTGTACGATTTGATCGCTGTTTCAGTACCTTTAGACAAACATAATGATACGACTTACATTATCGTTTGCCCTCTTATTATGGTCAGAAGCAATCAGTCAACAAAACCTCAAATCGAACCTTAACAGTAGCTTGCCGGTAAGCACGTTTAGGTTGATTGAATCTTTGATGGAAGATGTATACAGAGTGAATCAGTCTACAGTACTGAACATGTACCTACTTAATAGTTTTTTCCAAATAAAAAAGAAAAAATTTAAATAATGCATGATTTTTTAATACGAAACTATTGAGAACATCCGACTGTACTGTACCAGTCTATAACACAGATATAGATGAACGTAATTTTTTCTCTAACCCGTTGGCCAAAAATCAAAGTAATCCCCACCCGATATAATGCACTTATGCCAACTCAAGAAACAATTTGAAAAGTCCTTTGGCGGTATGGCTTTCAATGCTCTTGTCGATTCGGCTTTTATTCAAGTCAAAACGGTGTCCACGGAGTGACGTTTTGAGTTAAGGGAATAGCCAGAAGTGGCACGGTGCTAAATCAGGCGAATACGGTGGTTGCGGAATGATAAGAGTTGAATTTTTGGAGAAATAGTCTCGAATTATCAATGCTGTGTGAATTGGTGCATTATCACGATGCAAAAATTAAGAGTTGTCCATAATTCCGGCCTTTCCAAGTAATATTCCTTGTTAACAGTTTGGCCGGTTGGAAGACATTTATAGGGCACTACGCCACGATAATCAAAGAAAGCTGTCAACATGACCTTGAGTTTTGAGTGACTTTGGCGTGGTTTTTTCAGTATTGGTTCACCTTTTGCACAATATTTGCACTGTTTCCGGGTCGTAAGCGTAGTTCCAAGTCTCGTCTCCAGTGATGATGCGTTTCATGGGGTCTTGGTAGTAAGAAATCATTGTTTCACAACTTTTGCTATATTTCCTTGAAATTTGACGATTTTAATTTTTTAAAATATATTTCAAAATAAACGGATTTTGATTAAAATTTGTACGGAGAACAATTTTGGATGGCATAGAATGACGTAATATTTATTATTAGATTTCAGACAGAAAGGAACTGATACAATTCATAAAAATTCGGTAACGAACAAAATATTCGCAGCAGAGTAGAATTTGAGCAAAATATAGTTTAAAAATATGTGCCTTTTTTGGGTTCATTAAAAATATTACTTGTTTTTTAATAATTAATGTTAATGATTTGCATATCTACAGTATATCCATGATTAGAGTGAATAGAAGGAAAATCTATTTTATTTTCGATTTTACGGAAAAACAACACTTGATAAAATGTTTTGTTTGTTTTTAAAATGAGGTGGCGATGAAGAAACAATGTGTAGTTCACATCTTTAGAAGAGGTTCGACGAAACTAGAATTAATTCCTTGCTCGTTTTTTTTAACTATACATTTCCCCCACAACCTTATTAAGTTCTTTTAAACCAGTTTTGTGCGAATTGTTTTATTTAAAAACTTTTCACTCTTTCGAAAGAGTAGAAATCATGGTAGTTTACTCTTACATTTCCATATTTTTCAATTTTCGTACATGAAATGTTTTACAAATAAAAAAGGTTTTCCTTTTATTCAGTCTAATCTTGAACAAATTGGAATAGTTATTGTTTTACTCAAATTGAGATAGTTTTATAAAAGAAATTGTGACGTATTAATTCTAAAGGTACCTTATTGCTTTTTAACATTACGTGTTTGAGAAAAATCTAAAATTGTCTCTGCATTTTCTTTAGCAAATACTTCCAATTATTTTCAAAGTGCTCACGTTAGATCTATTATTTTATACTATTATTTATTTATACACGGACAAACCTGTTTCAAGGAAACATTTTACTTGATTTTCTTCCTGGCGAGATTCTCGACATTCCTATTATCATTCTTCAGAGCCGTACCGTATTGTGCTCAGAATAGATATGGACAAATTTGTGCTTTCCACCACATTTGATAGAAGTATAACGTACTTTATATACGTCAAGTCAGATCTTATCTAAAATTTATAATTCAACCTTAACAATTTATGCTAATAGTATAATTTTATAAAATAGGTTTCTTTTGAAAATGTAAGTAATATTTCCTGTTATGTCTTGTAATAATTTTTTTATATGTATCTTTAAGACCTAATATGACTTCATATATTTATTACTGCGACCAGTTTTTTTGTAGTATATTAAGTATTAAGGTCAGTAAATGTTCTTCACTGTTTGAGGAAACGTTTGTCCTAAACCAATAAGACATTTAATGACGTCTATTTTTGTATCTAGAACGCAAAATGGTACTTTTGCGTTCAAGAATTGAAATTATTCGAGCTTAGCGATTGCAGTGCTTAAAACTGCAAGATCCCAGAACTTATACCGGACACACATTCTGAAGGAGTTTTGCCACTATTGTGGAAAGCCCTAGAATATATATTTCAGGCCTTAAAAGGCACGGTGGGTGGTGTTCGACCTCTGTAGCTGGGGGATATATCGAAGACTCTCGATCTTCACACAAGATTTTACATGGAAATTCTCGAGGAAATTCTACGGTAACAGAAAGCGATATAGCAGCCCAGAGTGTATTACAAAATGTGCAGCAACTATGGCATCATCAGAAGAGAACTTTGTTTTAAAGAAGGAAAAGGGGAAGGGAAAGAAAGAAAATTTAGGTAGTTTTTCTCGTGTTACTGTTAAAGGTTCCTTCTCAAATTGTACTTTCGTTTTTAAAAACGGTTGTAAATGATTTTTGAATTGAGTATTTGTTGTACTTGAGTAGTAGTGATAATGACTCTAAAATTGAAAAAAAATTTTGCGTAAAAACTATGAATGCTACAAGATTTTACCTAGAGCACGAAAATCTCGAAAAAGGACTGATGCATCAATAAAAATAAAATGAATCGATTCCAGCGACCAAATAAAAAGTCCTGGTAATTCTTGTACCATGACACTCAAGAATTTACCACTAGCCCAAGGCGGATGGACGCGGTTGCTTCATTAAAACATGAGTCTTACTTAGGAACAAGTCCACAGCAAGTTTCATTAAAATCCATCGTAACATTCTCCAGATATTACAAAAAACATATTTTTTTTCAAGAACTTTGCCAGTCAATAGCAGAGGAGCCAGGCATTTTTTTTAATGGAAGTTAGTTCAAATCGTCTTCTTTTGAGCCAAAAAATGTCGCAGTACCTTTTTGATCATGTGCTTATGGGACACCCTGTATATCAAATATTAATGTTAATAAACTTTGTACTTTCATTTGTCTGCTTCCCTTGTACAAGGTACATTTACTATTCTACCCTTCCAAACAAGAAGGGTACAAAATAGGATCAAAATGCGGGCGATAATATTTTGGGTCCTCTTATTTCGCCCTATAGTGATATGACGTTTTCCTATTCCGTTTCCTAATAATAAACAAATGAAAAATAAACACTGTTTACGTTCATGTTACACACAGTATATTTCAAAACTAATCTATTGCTGCTGATCCCGATGACAAAAATATTAGTCACGGCACTCAGTTGGCAAAAATGAAGCGGTCTCATTTATATTCACGCCGATTTGTACGGGCCAAAAGCAGAACTAGTAAATATGAATCAGCCGGAGTTGCGTCTGGCTACCGAAGCAATAAATAATTACGGGGTCTGACAGGGAGCCGACAGAAAACGCAGAATGTATTGTACTGACATGAGATACGGAAAAGTGGACATATAAAAATGCCGTCGGTTTTTGTTTCACATCCAAAATAGGTACTGTACCTTCTTCTCCTTAGCATTCACATTAATATATTCAAAGCCGGGTACTAAGTTGGAAGTTTTTCGAATCTACAAATTCGTCGCAATAAAATATTCGCCTATATATAGAGTAAGCGTGTATGGATCTGCATACAATGGGCCCTGGACTTTTATGGACATTTTTTGCAAATTCGAGAATAATAAATGTGTATGTGTGACGCTGGGACGTGTACTTTTTGAGAGTAAGATTTGTGGGGGTCGGTCTCTGGGATTTGGACAAAATAGACTTTTTTTTAACATAAACTTTTAGTTATTGATTCGAATACTATGAATATTATCGTACTTAATGTTGTAAATTAAATATTGAATAATAAAATAAGGTTATTACTTTCTCTGCTAAATGGAATTTCTTGACAAACGTCGTCAGCGTCAGTTCGACACCTGTAGACGGCCCCTCCTCTGAATCTCGGATCATGATACGAAGATCGTGCTTCAGGAGCTCCGACTAGGACCCTGAAACAAAAAAAAAAAATACATGAGTATTGCAGGAGTTATTGTGTAATATTCAAATTGTAATAAAAAATAAAAAAATAAAGTTAACTTATTTATTATTATTTTTAATTAACTTTTAAATAAATAGACTTTAGATAGGAACTACAACGTAACAGAAATTTTATTGTTTGATATTGTTCAATTGACCCTAAAAAATGATAAAACCGCAGAGTGCTACCTTTTAAAGGGGTGCGTTTTTGAGAACGAAGTAAAAAGGTGGTGTTTTCAGTTTTTTGATTTTTACTCGAAAACTATGCATTTTTTCTGAAGTCAAAAAAATATTTTTAACAAAAATATGCCCAAAAAACGAGTTAAAAAAAAACAAAAAATGCGTTTTTTTTCTTTTTGGTTTTTGGCCTACAAATTTTTTATGAGAGGAGCTAGGTATAGGCATTGCTTCACAGGAAAAAAAAAATTAAAATAAGCGTTTGTAAAAGTACCTACGACTTATAGAAACCGAGATATATTGGATCAAAGTTGGCTACTTTTTGGATTTTTGGCCAATTTTTGCCCTTTTTTGACGATTTTCGTCTTATAACTTTTTTCTGAGTTAATTCCGGTATATGTAATGCCATATTCAAATGAAAGCTGGTTTCAAGACCTTTAAAATGGTGCCTGGTAGAAGTTTGTACAATTAAAATCAACCGAGATATGTCAATTTAGCCAACGATACNAGGACTTATTGCGCCATATTCATATTGTAATAAAAAATAAAAAAATAAAGTTAACTTATTTATTATTATTTTTAATTAATTTTTAAATAAATAGGCTATTGACTATGTACTTTAGACAGGAACTACAACATAACAAAAATTTTATTGGTTGATATGTTCAATTGACCCTAAAAATTGATAAAACCGCGGAGTGCTACCTTTTAAAGGGGTGCGTTTTTGAGAACGAAGTAAAAAGGTGGTGTGTTCAGTTTTTTGAGTTTTACTCGAAAACTATGCATTTTTTCACTATAGTTGTCAGAAAAGTTGTAGCAAATTGAATTTCCAATCGAAATGAAACCTTCTGAAGTCAAAAAAATTATTTTTAACAAAAATATTCCCAGAACACGAGTAAAAAAACGAAAAATGCGTTTTTTTCTTTTTGGTTTTTGGCCTACAAATTTTTTACGAGAGGAGCTAGGTATAGGCATTGCTTCACAGAAAACAAAAATTATCTTGTTTCCTTGAAACTAAGCGTTTGTAAAAGTACCTACGTCTGCCTTTTTTGACGATTTTCGTCTTATAACATTTTTCTGAGTTAATTCAGGTATATGTAATGCCATATTCAATATGAAAGCTGGTTTCAAGACCTTTAAAATGGTGCCTGGTAGAAGTTTGTACAATTAAAATCAACCGAGATATGTCAATTTAACCAACGATACTTTTTCTTATTTTTATAAAATTTTTATTACTTCCGGTATTATTTTGTCTAATAAATTTATTTTTGTGAATGTGAAAGTTAAAATAAGTTTCTAGGTGATTTAATATTATTATTTATTTATTTAAACAACAATTAATCATATTTATCATGAAAAATTTCGAATTCTTTTAATTATTTTTGTACTTTTAATTAAAATATTCTTAAAATTACAATTACATTTTTTTTTAATTTTAAAGGTCTTAAAACCAGCTTTCATTTGAATATGGCGTTACATATACCTAAATTAACTCAGAAAAAAGTTATAAGAAGAAAATCGTCAAAAAAGGGCAAAAATTGGCCAAAAATCCAAAAAGTAGCCAACTTTGATCCAATGTATCTCGGTTTCTATTACTTTTATAAACGCTTATTTTAAAGGAAAAAACATAAACTTTTTTTTTCTGTGAGGCAATGCCTATACCTAACTTCTCTGAGAAAAAAGTTGTGGGCCAAAAACCAAAAAGAAAAAAACGCATTTTTTCGGTTTTTTACTCGTTTTTGGGCATATTTTTGTTAAAAATATTTTTTTTACTTCAGAAGGTCTCATTTCGATTAGAAATTGAATTTTCTACAACTTTTCTGTTGACAACTATAGTGAAAAAATACATAGTTTTCGATTAAAACACAAAAAACTGAAAATATCACTTTTTTACTTCGTTCTCAAAAACGCACCCCTTTAAAAGGTAGCACTCCGCGCTTTTATCATTTTTTAGGGTCAATTGAACATATTATACAATAAAATTTCTGTTACGTTGTAGTTCCTTTGTACCCTCTTTTTTTGACATAGTCAATAGCCTAAAACAAATGAAAATTTTAATGACTTTTCAGTCAGATAATAAAGTAGTTACATCCGTCATACATTTAAGTCATACACAATTCGATAGTCAGAATTTCAGCAAATTAATATAAAATCAAGTTTATAATATTTTCTATAAGTTTTTTTTAGTAGCTCCTGAATACGATTGTATATGTTGCCAGTTATTTTTCTACACACTTTTTAAAGTACTGCGTTTAGTTCATGAATTTTGGTGTCAACGACCGCTTATAATGTTCTATTTAGGTGAACTACAATTTAATCCACCTGATGTGATCTGACAACAGGCCGAATATGCCACGCCTCCCCTTCATTGTACTTATTTATAATGTTATATTTTATGTAACGTTAGTGTAAAACCGTATAAAGTTATATATTTCAGTTAGTTCAGTGATGCGGTGTGTTTGTGTGTCTTCATTGTTAAATTACTGTGTGATATTATGAAAACATACACATATCAAGAACTGCGGAGAAAATTCAAAACACATGATGTGCTTCTAAAAGGTCGAAGCTAGCCTCTGCGTTCCATTTTTACATATTCGAAAGTTAAGTAAAAATTTGTATTTTGAACAAAATTATTTATGATTATTGGCATATCCCAAAATCACCTTTTATAAACCTTACAGTAATTTCTTTCTCTTTTTCTTCAAATTATATTTCCTTTTCGTGATTAGATTAACTTCAAAACCGTACAGATTCGCTTTATTTACATATCTGACAAAAATTCCACAGATGCCGTCCGCATTACATTTAAATAATGTCTTAATCGACTCGATCTACGCACCAGTTAATATTTCCTAAGTGAATTTATAGCGGGCACTTACAATCTAAATACTTTTCTGATTACTATCAGCCATTCTCATGTATATCATTAAACTGTAGTTCTTCGATCCGAACTGCACTTTGTTTAATGCGACTTTCTCAAAATTGTGTTTGTATGTGTAAGCGCGTCTTCAAGCCGGACAAAGATCCCATTATGTAACATATTTAGATCAGATAAACACTAAAAACGGTGTAATAAATCATGCACCAACATTCGTAGAGGCTGGTAACGCTCTGGGAGTGTACCGATGTTTGAAAAATAATTAGACGTCTTCCCAAAACTTCCTAAAATCGAATTGTTATTGATTATAAGCAACAAACACAACATTTCAGCGAAAATAGTTGTTTTAAGGAGGTATATCGGGTTTACTAAAATGCACAGATGTACTTGAAATTTATATAGCGTGTTACCCAGTGCTCCCTGTAGAAAGAGAAAAATGTAGAAATTGTGAAACAAAACTTTTCCATAGATAGTACACAGTATTATCTTATTTTCGATGTAAAACTATTGTAAGTTTTGAACATAGTACAGCTGTATTAATTAGAAACAGAAACCAATAATTGCATTTCTGTCTGACTTGAGGATTAATGTGGCAACGTCGCAATCAGCTGACAGCAAGGAGGGAATACATTTGAAAGACTTGATAAAAACGAAATTGATTTCAAACATATACATTTTTCCTAAATCCCATGTACATTGTTATCAACAATAAATTATCCACAACAGATGATTTTTTGTAATGTTTTTAAAAAACTAGATTAATTAAAAAAGACTAGGAAGCTGTGATATATTTATTGGAATAAAAAATACAGTTGATAAATCCTTTTAATATATTTAATGGTTTATAAAAACATCGTAATCATTACCCAGCAATATTTAGGGTTACATAAAGTTTTCTTTACTTGATTAATATAATTAGTAATACTTGAGATAAAAGCATTTGTACGGAATAACAAAGGAACATAAATATTTCTCAGCAAACTTTATATCTAAAAAATTAGTTATAGTTGCAAAACTTTTGTAACATTACTAAAATAGAGATTAAAAACACGAACAGTGAGTAATAATGTAATTTCTATCACAGAACCTTCAAAATTGCATCCAACATTTTCTTTGACTTGGACGAGAGATGGGCGCGAGTGTCATTTCATTTCTTTAGAACTAAATTAACATAATTCTCGTTGTTTTACCAGTTCACATGATTTACGGATTTTAAATAAAGGATACAAATCTTCGCGAGGATAATACGATATATTTGCTATATATAATAATTATATTGTACATAGTTTACACACAATACATTTTTGAACGCGTACGCATCTTTACCCGAATTTGACGCGCAATATCTCCGATGTCCGAGGTCTGTAGGTTCGCAGTGTGTACAACTGCTAGTCAATTATTAGCGCTGTTGCCACATCTACATAGTCTTTATGCGTTCATTAAATATAATTTAAAACTACTTAAATATGATATTTTTATGTTGTTAATTAGTCAATATGTATGCTATGTGCATATGAGTAGATTTCTTTGCTATATAGATAATGTTTATCGCAAATAATTTCAATAGAATTTAATTTTTTCAAGTTGGTAGCGGGTTTTAGTCCCATAAGAAAAGCATAGGACCCCCCCTGCGATCCTCATTTCCCTCGGACCCCGATATACCTCCTTAAGGAAGAAAATGTTTTGTGTAGATATCTTAAGGCCACATTAAAAAATTTGCTGTACAATAACTGAGTTATGTGTAAATATTTACAATATTAACTATTAATTAATTAATGACATTCATGGTCTCGAATAAAAATGAAGCTGTACTGGAAATTTAGCTCACAAGCATGCAAAACATTCTTTGTATTGAATCACGTAAACTCTATGAAGTTATTGACAATGAAAATAAACAAAGTAGGAATTTTCTGATAA